TAAAATCAATTAAAATCACAAAAGGCAAAAAAACAGTGGAAGACAAAAATAAAAAGAACAAGGGCAACAAATAGAAAATAGTAACAAACATGGTAGATATTAATCCAACTCTATCAATAATCACTTTAAACATTAATGATCTAAATGCATCAATTAAAAGCTTGTCAGAATGGATCAAAATATAAGATTCAATTACATGTTATCTACCAAAAAAACCCACTTTAAATATATAAAGTAGACTAATAGATTAATATTAAATGAATGCGAAAGATATACCATGCTAATACTAATCAAAAGAAGACAGGAATAGCTATATTAACTTCAGATAGAACCGATTTCAAATCAAGGAAAGTTATCAGAGATAAAGAGGGGCATCACATAATGATAAAGGGGTTAATTCTCCAAGAAAACATACCAATCCTTAATGTGTATGCATCTAACAAGAGAGCATCAAAATACTTGAGGCAAAAACTGGTAGACCTGCAAGGTGGAATAGATGAATTCACTATTATAGTTGGAGACTTCCAACACCCCTCTATCAGAAATAGACAGATCCAGCAGGCAGAAATTCAGTAAGAACATACTTGAACTCAACCACACCGTCAATCAACTAGATATAATGACATCAATAGACTACTTCAATGATGGCAGAATATACTTTTTTTCAAGCTCATATAGAACAATCACCAAGACAGACCATACACACTCTGGGCCATAAAACATACATTAACAATTTTAAAAGAATAAAAATCATACAATGCTCTCAGACCACAATGGAATTAAACTAGAAATCAGTAACAGACAGCTAGAAAATCCCCAGATACTTGGAGATTAAACAGCACACTTCAAATACATGAGTCAAAGAATAAATCTCAAGAGAAATTTTAAAATATTTGGAACTAAACGAAAATGAAATTACAACTTATCAAAACTTGTGGGATGCAGCAAAAGCAGTGCTTAGAGAGAAATTTATAGCATTAAAATGCATATATTAGAAAAGAAGAAAGATATAAATATCAATCTAGGTTTCATTAGGAAACTAGAAGTAGCAGAGCAAATTATAAAAATAAAAA